TTTCTCAAAGAACATAAAATTAAACCATGCATGTAGCCATAAATCTCAATATGGCCGAACCATATACAAGAGTATATGATTCAAATTTTCAAAAAATTTCATGCCATGTTTCTGAAACAATTCATGAAGATAAATAAGAAAACAATCAAGGTGTTCAAAACACCTTTCATGGTCGAACTACACCTTTCAAAAAGGTGTTTCCTTTTTAAAACTTTCACAAAGTAAAAACAACCATGTATACATATGGATTCATGAACATAGCATTCGAAATAACATGTTCATAAAAACGAAAACTTTAACCATTTAAAGTATTGTAAATTAAAATCCAAACGTAAAAATTGAATCTTTAACTTTTAAAGAAATTTTAACCGTGAAAAATATGATCACAAACAAGGTACCATCACCCGTCTATGGTAAAGCAACCGGGCTCTGATACCACTTGAAAGTTCGAATTGGCCTTGAAGGCCGTAGCATGTGAGAGGGAAAAACAAAACTTTTTCATTGCGGAACATACATGCATTCAAGATCATGCTTTAGGAAAGCATGATGTTACCTTGTTCGTGAAAACTCATGATGATCAAGGTAGGTCTGAAGGGTTCAGACCCTCTAACGTTGATCCACACCACCCACTGCGTCTAGGTGCAAGAACTCCTTCTTGTGAAACCGCCAAGTGATCACTACAATGAGGCTTGCTAAGCGCACACTGTGTGAAGAGAAAGGCTAGGTAAAAGTGTTTGAAAGAGTGAAGCTTTCAATGTGAAATCTTCACAAAAGTGGCGCAGGAGAGGAGAAGAGAATGGCTTGGTTGGTTTTCTAAAAACCCTAGAAGGAACATATATAAAGAGGTGCACAAGAGGAGCCTATTTGTTAAAAACAAATCAGATTTTTAATCAATAAAAATCCCTTCCAAAAGGGCGCTCCATCAAAGAGAGAGACAATAGGATTTGTTGCAAATCAAATCTCATCAAATCTTGCCAACAACATCCTATCATATCTTTATGATATATTAGGTTCAAAACCTAATCAAATATCTGATCATAAATCATCATATAATCAGTTATATGGTGCGCCCCATATAGCCTAAATAATGACCAGATACATTTGAGTAGTTGCATTCAAACTTCAATCAAATCACTCAAATATTCTCCCAACAGATCGTATCTTCTGGAGCTGATTCTGATGACTAACCAACAGCCAAATCAGCACCCCAAATCTTCTTAGATTATGTCCAAAAGATTTCCTCTTGATATGTTCCAACAAGATCTCATCTTATCCTTTTGTTATGAAACAACTTTTCATAGACAATTCAAATTCGAATTTCAAACATTTGAATTCAAACTTTCAAACACTTAAATTCAAATTCAAATTCTAAATTCAAATTTTAAAATTCTAAATTCAAATTTCAAATTTCAAATTTCAAATTTCAAAATTCAAAATTCGAATTTCAAAATTCAAATTTCAAAATTCAAATTTAAATTTCAAATTTCAAATTCAAAATTTAAACATTTGATAATTAATTTAACTAATTAAATTAATTAGTAATGTCTTGGACTATCCAAGCCCATTACTTAGATCCATGCGCCCTCCACCCTATATGCTATTTGAATATTATCTAGTCATGCATACACATATCATAATTTTAGCATTTTGTTTTGTGTGCGGACCATAGCATAGCATGCATGCATGAATTTCATTCTGATTTCTGAAAATAATTACGAACAGTAAGCATACGTTTGAGCACGCATCATGTAGGCATCCTTACGGTACCAGGGTATGGGACACTTGGCTTCAGTTCGCATAGGTCGCAGTTGGAATCCTTTTGTGGAGCCACCCAGTAATCTCCACTATGTTTGTTAGTAGTACGTGCACCGTAGTGTTATGAACGTACTTTTGGCGTTATATACTCAATATGATCAGTACTTTTGGCGTTATATACGCACTATGAATATGGTTAGTATCTGTCGGATTTGAATTGATGATGCGACTGCTTTGTAATTCTGCATCTAGTTAGTAATGTTGCATTACTGGTTTTCCTATCACAGTACTGGAATTTTTCTCACCCCTCTTGGGGCTCAATTTTTATAAAATTGCAGGAGGACGAAAAAGCATATGATGACGTTATTATTTTGGATAGTTGCTGATGATTGCTGCTGTTTGGAATTCCTGTTGTTGTCTGTTTTATTTGTTGGAAGCTAGCTGACCTTATTATATTGATGTAATATTTTGGGGAACATGGACTACTGTTGGAACATGCTTTAATCTGTTGTTTTAAGGTTTTACGGTCAGTTTGCATTTTTGGAAGATTCTGATTACGTTTTGCGAAAAACAATTTCTTAACGTTTTAAATGATGTTTACAAAACTGTTTTGCGAAGCGAGTTATGTTTCGTGGGGCTACAGACCTCCAATTCGCTTATAATTTATATGCACGCGAAGCCCCACATGTGTAGTTTCGGATTATATAAACATTACAATGGAATTTTGAAAACTCGATTTTATACGATTTTTACAAGGCAGCAAGGTCTGTCAGAAAAATTAATGTTTCGGCAAGTAATGTAATTTTTGTCTAAATGTCACACGGTTTATTTTTAGACCAGATTTGAATAAGAAAAGTTTTCGTAGGCTTAAAACCAAATTTTTAGAACTTCCTCGTTAGCATTTCGACTCTAATTCGCTTAGCAGACAACTCCTTTGGATGCATACAGGGGAGGGTGTCAGAGAAAGTGATTCAAATTCAGTTATTACTTTGCTTTCCAGGAGTGGAAGAGCAGCTCAAGAGTCTCGTTTAGTGACTCGGATTGGAGCATGGTTACAAAAGAATTGAGAAGTTCAATTGGTTCATGTTTTTAGAAAAGGAAATAGTTGTGTAGATTGGCTATCTAAATATTCCTTAGATTATCCTGTTGAGAATAATTTTTGTGATTTTTTAAACCCTCCTCCTGGTATTTGGCCTTTTTTACTGGGCTAATTTTTCACGCATTATGTTCTTCCTTTCCTAATTTTTTTTTTATATATGCAACTAGTGGTCGAGTTAAAAACATGGAAAAAGAAAGAAGACACTGATCTTGTCCGGAAATGTTTGAACCACCAGTACTTGTAAACTCATGGAATTGTGGTATTATTGATGTTCGGGATTTTTGTGGAGTAAAACCAAACTTAAATGATGACTTTCATATTGGTGATTTGCAGCGTTGTCAGTCGATCATCGTGGCTTTGACGAGGCTGCCTTCTTTATGCTCAAATGTTTGTGGGGTAGGAATCGAAATTTACTGATCCCCACAGACAGCGCCAAATGTTCTGGAATGAACATTAATTCTAGCAGGATAGTTAGTGTTTGTATCTACGGAGCTTATGGTAAAGATGACAGGCAATGAGAAGTCCTGTACCCTAAGCCAAAGTCTCATGGTATTAACAATGGATGCGTGTGTGAGTAACCTGCTAGTGAATAGGATGTGCTCTGAGCACAAGTGCGTAGGTTGTAGTCATGGTGGCCAGCCTTGTGAATACTAAGATAGGTTCTCAGATGTGTTCCCCCTTTGTTAGCTATAAAGGATTATATATAGATGAAATGTACTAGGAGGTTGTGCCCCTAGTGGGTAGTTTGCAGGTGACTTAATGGTGTGATGCAATGCTTAATGGGTGGTTATTTGTAGTGGATGGAAGTTATGGGAAAGTGGTGGAATGAGATGCACCATGTAGTGGGATAGGAAGTGGGTACCACTTAAGTGGTTTATAACAATAACAAAACTTTAGCTGTGACAATTTAAAAAAAGAGTAAACACCATTTTTAGTCCCTGGCAATATCTACGAAGTCCTTTTCAGTCCCTGGCAATAAAAAAGGACCAAATTGGTCCCTGAAAGTACAAGAAAATGGTCACTCTACATATTTGGGAGTTGACATAAGGACTAACATGACCCTTTTTTGTAATTTCAGGGACCAATTTGGTCCTTTTTTATTGCCAGAGACTAAAAACGACTTCGTAGATATTGACAGGGACTAAAAATGGTGTTTACTCTTAAAAAAATATTTCTTAAATGTGATAGTTTAACGTATACTTTGCCATAAAAAATTGGCAAAATAATCGTTGTCCCCATTTTTGTAGCTTCCAACTGATACCATTTGCAACAGATCAATTTTCTTGAGATGTGACGCTTATGACACCTGGAGAGCATGTTAGGCTCGTATTGTATAAAATAAAATAAGGTATTACCATAACGCACTAAACTAAGGCCAATATGTCATAATTTTATCGCATGCACAAACAAAAAATAGACAACAGCCACTTTTTTTCTTTCTCTTTGTTTATTCATGATAAAAATATAACTCAATAAACTTTAACAACAAAGATAGTGCCAAAAGCGCAAAACTTACATGGCTCGATAGAAAAGCCTTATTAGATAGGTGCCGAAAGAAGTAAAAGGGTAAAATGGTTGACACCTTTTCATGTAGGACTGATTGGCTTTTTCTAGTCTCTTCTATCTACTTCAATCTCTGTCTTTTTCTAGCCTTATTAGAACACTTCAAGCCAAAACAAATGCTATCTCTACTTTCCAACTCTTTGTCAAAGAGGATCCGCAAAAAGATTATTTAAAAAAAAAAAAAAAATTGCTTTCTTTGAATTTTTTCCTCTTTCACTTTGTTGGTAGCTACAAAGTGCCAGTAAATAAAATCAGTAATGGAAGAACATGGGGTTGCAGCAAACCAAAGTAAATTTGATAAACTTGCTTCATACATACATGTTGAATACTACAACTTCCATTAAGGCATTGAAGTTATAAGCTTCCTAAAGGAGTTTCTTCGTGATAGATGTATGCTGAGTTATCTAGCACGATTAAAATATCTCCTGTAAAAGCAAAGACCCTAAAAGATACTCAGTTTTATTACCTGAAAATCTATATTAGTAAGAAAGAAAAACAAAATATGTAAGTTGAACATGACCTACAGAGGAAAGAAGAGGAGGTGAAAATATGCACAAGACATTGTCCAGAATGTAAGAAAGAATCATTTTGATTTGGAGGTGCACCGCGAGGGTATGTAGCTCCCATTAACAGGGTGGAACTTGAGGTCACAATTCAGATGACACAAGAACTTAACAGACCCTATAGGCCCTACCCTCCACTGTGTCCTCGCGTTTCCCTTGAAATCAAAACCAATCTCATTTCTTTTCAACGAATCATCCACTTCCTCCATCTGATCAGGAGTTAATGGTATAGATGATGATTGAACAACATAGTTGAGATTCTTTGAACTGTTCTTGGCCACATCAAATGGGTCTGCAACCAGCAGTGCTATGTCTTGGCTTTGGTAGCTAAGGTTGAAGGTTATGTCAGAAAATGTTGCATGAGCCTTGGCATTCCCATTCTGTGCAGTCACAACAATGGTGATTTGGGTTTGGAGCAGACCAGCATAGTCATTTCTCAGAAGGTCTAGATGAGCATTGCTGACACTGATAGTTAGGAATAACAACGGGTTTAACCCTCCACCATACTTATAGTTTTTCTCCATTCCGTTCTAAGACATACCGTCCGCCAATCTATATCTCACTCCATTAAATCTTGTTTTACTACCTTCCCCCAAGTCAGTTTCGGCCTACCTCTGCCTCTTTAGAGTTTTGTTAGAGTTTTTAGTTGTCATATTAATAAGGTGTGCCAGTTGCAAAACAAACTTGAGGCATTATCAGTCCAATAGACAATCACAGAATGCTGGCATCATATGAAATGAAAATACTTTAGTTACATGTTCTGCAAATGGACAAAGATAGTTCCACATATAATGTATGTACACAATCTAAAGCATTCAAAAAATGTTGAAGACCCGAAAATTTTCTAATGACTTGCGGGTACATGTGAATGTAAGTATCAGTATCATTATTGTTTGTAATATAAAGAACAGCTGTTATTGCAGACATAGAGTGTACATATTGAAAAAGCAACACTTGAAACTGGGACAGGGAGATTGAACACATGTCTATAAGCTGAAAGTACATCAGTCCATCGAAGAAGATGGTTTTGGAAACTTAATTGGCTAAGATTAAAAATATTTTTTTGGTAGATAAAAAAACTAAATATAATAGAATTTCCCCTTGTGGGAAAGTCTTTGTAAAGTATATATAAGGATAATAGACTAATAGAGTCATAACATTGTACCATCACAAAACATTCCTAATGTGTAAATTGATACTGAAAACTGAATGAAACAAACTAGAAGACATTTAAAATGAATTTGGTGTATTAATTATAAAATAAAATTAGTATGACACATTTGTGTGCTTTGGGAAATTCCAAAAATAACATTACAATTTTGAACATTCACAATTCATACCGAATAGGAAAACTTAGGGCAAACATAAGAATTAAAACTTTTGTTACTTACACCAACAGTTATCCATCTCAAGAGTCAAGTAGTTGGTCAATTGTTCATGATGACAACAGCAGCTACCTCACCTTTGCAATACAATCTCCCAGATTACTCTCAAAAGAATTAGAAGCTAATAGAGACACAAGAATGTTGAACAAAAATCAAAGGAGATCAGTGAGAGAACTGGCTATTTTTCCATAGTCTCTTTTGAACCGGCTGTAGTAGCCTTAGCCTCTAAGGCCCAAGAATCTCTGCAATGCTCTACACATTTGGGCACTGGCCATTGTAGGATAGCCTTAACCTCTGTGTCCATTGAGACTCCCAGCTTGTAAATGTTATGGGCTGATTCACTACTTATGGCCAAAAAATGAAAAATAAAAAATACCGAAGTAATGTTTTTTTTTTTTTCAAACTTATTTACATTATCTGAGACAGAAATGACACGCGCCACTGTCTGGGGGAGAGATGATAAGGGCTAGTTGGACTCGTGCCTCTCCTAGGAGCTACCACATTTCATTATTATTATTTTCCGTGAACGGGAAGAAGACGTTGCCAGGAGACTCCAGTATCCTACCCATTCTAGTAATTAATTAATGATTAAATGTAAGTAAAATGATGAATTAATGATATAACTGGGAATAGCTGTCAGTTTGAATTGGGAACTATTTGAATTAAATGGTAAATTGCTAAAACACAATAATTCCCAATATAATCTGCCCATGAATTCCTCCCCTCCTAATCCCTACACGCTTCTTCTCAGCTCCCTCTCCTTCATCCCTAACTGGCATTACCTCATTGCCTTGGCCATTCTCTCCCTTTCCATTCCCTACAATTTCACGGAATTCCATTTCCACCAAGACTTTTTCTCCAGGTTCGGAGGCTCCCTATTGGTGCTGATGCACCATCCTTTCTCCCACATCTACGATGGCATAGTTTCCGAGTGCCTCCTTCTTCATGGAAGGTGCCACCGCTGCTCATATTCATTTCTGCGTTTTTTCACCCTTAAAAACAAAACAATTCCCCTAAAATGAATTTGAGGTACTCTCAGTGTTTTCTGGTAACCAAACATGTATTTTTGGCCATGCCATGGCTATCAAGCAAGTCACCTTCAGATGGTTGTTTTGAGTTTCTTCAGCATGGCTCTCAAGCCCTCTATAATTTATGGCTTATTCACGAAAGTATAATCATATTTTTTAATGGTACTAAATGTCAACTTACCCTCATTCATCTCTTTTTTCAACTTCAAACTGACATCTACTCCCAACAATAATAAATGGCACCATTAAATAACATTTAACTATAAATTAATTACTAGAAGCGGTAGGATGAAGGAGTAACATGGTAGCCTCCGGTAGAGGCGCTAGGTGAAATAGCGCATCTCCACTTTAAAAAAAGACAAGTGGCAGCCTCTTGCTATGAAGCACCGATCATAGTTGTCAATAGCAGTTAGCGGCCGGTAGCGGCCGACCCCGAAAATGGTATAGCGGTGTAGCGAGTAGCGGTATTGACGCTATGGTGAAATATTAATTCCACGTATATTATACTAACAGTCAAGAAACGAGGCAATATCGCTTTTAGTATTAATACTCAAACATAAAAGTCACACAAAATCAAACACATAATTCCACAATCAATGTCAAATACAAGGAACATAAATGATCGATCCAAAATTAAACACAAATGAACAATAAAATTGTCAAATAGTCAAGTACAAGAAGTGAACTATGAAGAAAATCATCATCATCTCCGGATTCTCCATCAAATTCCAACATGGGAGTGATGTAGCGGTGTTGCCGCTATGCTACGCCGCTACCTTCCGCTACGGCCAACGTCGCGTAGCGTCGCGATTTGTAGCGGCCGACCACCGCTACCCGCTACGGTAGCGGTTTAGCGGCGCTACGGGCCGCTACTCACTCCTTAAATTTTTTTTCCAACGTATCGGATACGCGTATCGGAAACGTATCGGACACATATTGTATGGTAATCAACATCCTGTATCATCGAGGACGTATCGCAAACGACGTATTGGTGCTTCATAGGCCTCTTGTAAAGAGGCCAGGCACCACGTGTCATTCTTGCCCAGGCAAGGTAAATAAAATTGAAAAAGTTCTGCTATACATCATTATGTCATCAAAGAAGGCCAAGGCAAATTTTAAGGTAAGGCTAGAGTGTAGAATTCATGTCATATTGAAAAAGTAGCCAGTGCACTAGTGAGGCCAAAGACATGCCTAGGAATTCAAAATGGTCGGCCTTGTGGGCGCAAAAAGCTGTTTTTGGGACATATGTCTCATTAATGCCTTGGTGGGTGCAAAAAGCTGTTTTTGGCACCATTGGTGGCATTATTCAGAGCACGGTAGTCCACGTAGACACGCTAGCTGACATCCTTTTTCTTGACAAGAACTACTAAACTAGAGTAGGGTCTTGTACTAGATCTAATGATTCCATTAGAGAGCATCTTAGCCACCAGCTTCTCAATCTCATTCTTCTGCAAATAGGGTTAACGGTATAACTTGATATTAACAGGGTTAGTACCACCTTTGATGGGAATTCGGTGGTCCACTTCTCCACTAGGAGGCAACCCTTCAAGGATTGTGAAAATTTGTTTAATAGTTGTTGTAAACGGGAAAGTTGTTGAGGAGTGAGATCTATTGGCTCATCCATACTTCCCCAATTGAATCCGGCAACATGGCTAAGAAAATGAGGATAATGGAGATTGATCTAGTTCTGACACATTCATCAAAGCATTAAAACATACCATAGCTTGGGATAATCTAGGATCTCCTTTTATGCACACTTCTTGACCTTGGCGTAAGAAGGATATAGATAGGGTCCTCCAATTAACCTTTGCCTCTCCCAAAGTCTCCAACCAAGCTAATCCTAAGATTATATCAACTTCACCCAATTCATACAGATAAAAGTCACAGGTAAGGGCATAATTTCCTAGTTGCACATCAAGCAGGGAAAAAAACCTCAATATTACTCCTATAACCATCCCTTAGACGAACCCCAAAAGAGGGTGTAGGTGATACCTTCAAGCCAAGCTTCTACACCAATCCATGGGCAACAAAATTGTAGGTGCACCTCCTACCAGCTCTATGAGTTTCATAGACTTGGCGTGAGTCATCCCCCTGCTAAGAATAAGGATAAGTCTTACCATTCACATGAAATTTCTAGGGTAGCTTCTTTGTCCCATACTTCTTGGTCTTGCGATTCCAGCATTAACCCTTCCCTTTCCTCATCCAAACCTTCATTCTTTGAAAGAATTATGACAGTAATGCTCTTCTCTCAGCATTAATGCAACGATCCAAATGGAAATCCACAGTGGAAACAACAACCTTCCTTCTCATGGCATATTCATGATAGGGGAGTTAGGGAGTTCCTCTATTCCTTAGCCCCACCTAACCATTACCGGATGATTTGGCTACAAAGCCTACGAAAGAGGTTATATTGCCACTTGACATGATCCTCTCTACTACCATGGCTGGTTTCGAACCAATTACCAGTGAGGACCTTGATAACAAGCTTAGTGACCTAATTAAGGTGTTGCCCACTCAGGATACTATTTCCTCCTCCTTGATAGCGATCTCCTGCACTTGGCGTTTTGAATTGGGATCCCACTAACCCACTTACGATTTGTCCCACTTCCTTCACTGTTCTCGACTTTCTTGGCTGACTAGGGCTGAATCTCCTCGCAAATGGGTTGTTCTTGGGAACCCTTGTCCTCTAGTTCGATGCCTAGTGCATCCATTGACCTAATTGCTGCTTGATGTTGACACTACCCCACTCTATTCTTCATCTCTAATAATTGTGTGACATGGTTTCCCATCACTTTCTCGAGGCATTCCCCGAGCTCTCCAAAGCTTCAAACCGAGGCTCCATCATCTACATAAGAGGATAAGGCAGGTCGAACCAAAGTGATAGGCTATCCAATTATGCAAGATAGGAATTGTAAGAGAATGTTAAAGAATGGAAAAAAGTAAGGAAAAAGAGGGAAATACCAGTATTTGAATTATGAGAAAAAGATTACATGAGGGAAAACCCTTTTACAAGGGGGTATCCCTTCCCTCCACTGAGAATGTCTTAGTTTGATACTTTTCCAAATGGATGCTCCTTCTACAATTTCCCCAATTCAACTATCTAACCTCCTAACTGCCAAAGTAACCCTGTCTATTTACCTTATAAATCTCCTACCTTTTATTTCTCCTAGAATATACCCTCAAAACTTATTCTCCTTGTTAGGAGTTCGTTTGTGTCAAATATAACTCTCCCTTAGTTTCTCCTCCTTGTTCCTAAACATAGGTGAATGAATTATACAAAAGTACAATGACAGCAAGCTGGAGTGAGGTATGTAGTGTTAAAATGAAGAGGGAAAGCTCATAATTATTCTTTAAACACATTTTTCTCTCCATAGCTCCATACTTAAAAGAGATTGCTAGATCATCGAATATTTTGACCAGGATTTTGCTCTACTTTTCTTCATTTCCTTTATAGAATTTCTTTTTTTTCCCCTAAAAAATTCTTAAGATTGAACCATAAAATTATCCTATATTCAGATTTTATCATAGATAAAGAGTTATCACTTCTTTTCAGTATTGCCTTAAATCTAGTATATCAAATGATAACCATCAATCCAAGGCTTCGCAAAATTACATATACAAAACAGGTTAAACCAGTTAACCCTCAACTTACTCGAAAAAGTCTCATCTATCTTAATTCTAAAACATCATCACAATCTCTCTAAAAATGTGAACATAAATGCAAGACAAAGCAAAAATGGATATGCACAATATCCCTCTATGAAGATCCACAATTGCCTCCTCATTCACCTAGAGCACAATCTAATTCCTCAAACACAAGTATAAAAAAGAAAATTTTAATGAAAAGGAAACCAATAATGACTTGCCAGGGTTCTTTGTTGATCAAGCCATACCTAGATAAAGAAATGAGAAGCCTACGGAGGATGAGAGAGAGATAAAGGTCCATGATTCTTGAAGCAGGAGTGCCTAAGTTATTCATATGTCATTAACTACACGGGAATCTTTCGAATGAACATACCCACATTACGACTTACATGACTTTCATAAAAACTTTCAATAACGCACATATTATAAAAAGAATGTCCGTGGGAGGCATGTCTCTCCATTCTGGAACTATTAATCCAAGTTAGTTTTTGTGTGAAACTGACAAAAACAAAAAACTCCCAGTTGGCATGCATACCAGTAAAGGAGCACAAGCATGAGGGACTTCAATTCAAGCCCACACGGATAATAAAATTTTCATTTAGGAAATGGAACAAGGAGACTCGATTTGCAGCTTTGTTCTAAGCCTGCATAACTTTCATTAAAAGGCCCAAAAAAGAACTACTTACATCACAAAATATGAACCAGAAATTGGGGAGATATTGTCAGTATGACAATCATAAACTGATAGCTAATTACTAATATTTACATAAATTTTTTCATATAAATTGTTTTATATTATGATAATTCTGAACAAATCAACTACATACAAATCAACTACAATTCATGAACTGCAAAGACATTCATCTCAAGTAGCGTAGTGTGACCAGCCTCAAATATATTCACATAAACATTTAATATGAGTAAAAGAAATGGAATTAGACAGGAAAAAATACTGCTGGAACAAAAGATTACCAAAAGGAAAGCTAGCATGGACTGACAAAGATGAAACTTGTAGAACACTATCTTAAAGGCAACACCAAGACAGTCAAGAACAAGCAAAACCTGCCTGTTTCTGATACTGTAGGTTGAGTATAAATAATTTAAAACATAACTAAAAGAAAATATTTTCTAGATTACAACTTGACATGGCCTTTCCATCTACGGGAAAGACTTTCATATCTGTCTCTTGCACTCCTACCCTCTTTATAGAACGCATCCTTCAACTTCATCATTGTAGATTCATATATATTAATCCTTCTATCGAGCATGTCTTCAGCATACCTTCTCACCTCGGTCAGTCTACTCAATTTACAAAGACCAATGAGTAATGCATTTGCACTTTCATCAAGTGGCTTGACATGATTTTCAACCATGTAATTCCAGACCTCATGCGCTGCTTCAGGGTCATCACAATCAAAAAACATCATGATGGCCGCAGCGCAATTAGAATTAGTCGGCAGCCACTCATTCTTGATCATCTCAGTGAAGAACCTTTCCGTTTCGCGAGCCTTTTTGTTCTTCACCAAGCATTCAAAAATCATGTTATAAGTTAAAGAGTCAGGAAAAGTACCCTGGAGGACCATCTCATCAAGCAGCCGAAAGGCATGATCAACCTCACCATTGTCGCAAACCAACCCAATCATAGCATTGTACATTATCAAATTAGGCACTAATCCACTAACAACCATGACATCCCACATGGGAATAGCATTAACCACATCATTTCGCTTGACAAGAATATCAAGAGCAGTGGTAAAGAATTTCAAACCTGGGAAGCAGCTATTGTTCTTCATAACCTTAAGGAACTTCACAGCATCATCAATCTGCGAAGCGCGAACGAGAGTCATCAAAAGCGCGTCGTAAGCAGCGCGATTCTGCTCATTCCAACCAACACGAACCACCATCTCGCCGAAAGTGCTCTTAGCTGCAGCAGCATTGCCTTCTTTCTCCCATCCTTCAAGCAATATAGCAAATGTATCCCCGTCCGGTGTAATCTTCCCCTTAATCTTCTCAAAGAACTCCACAGCAACCGATGTTTGATTCTCCTCGCGGCAAATCGCGCTGAGCAGCGAGTTCAGGGCGACCACATCCTGCACAATCCCGTACCTGTCCATCACATCGAAGCTCATAACGGCCTCGCTAAACCTACCCGCAGTGCAGTAACTGCTGAATATGGAGACAAAAGTGTTCATGGAAAGAGCCCCTTCTTGTTTCATGGACCTAATTGCATCCCACATGGCCTCAAAAAGCTGGTTCTTGCCCAGCAAATCGACCATCAAGTTCCACGCGTGGGCCGAGTGCTTTTTAATGCTTCCGGCCCACCGGAAAAACTTGACGGCCGATGACGGGTAGTTATAGGACAGCTTCAGCACCTCGTGGATGCACTCTTCGGAAGGGTGGATGCCGCAGGAGGATAGGGCGTTTTCAATGTCCTGAGGAGAGGTTCGGGTTAGGATATTGCATAGGGTTCGCGCTGTGGATGAGACGTTCGGAGTGTCAAGGTGGGATGGGAACTCGTTCGGTTGTTGAGGTTTGGGAATTGGGGTTGTTTGTTTGTTAGGGTTTTTCGATGGGTGGTTTTTCAGTCCACTCATCCTACGGTTCTCAGCCACTGCCTCCATATCAATATTGAAGAATCAACCAAACATTGATGGGTTTTGGTTAGGGCATCGAGTGGTTTTTTTTAGAATGTTGGAATATAAGAACTGGTTTGGTTTTTTTTTTTTTTTAAATCGAGAATCCTATAAGCTCTGAATTGAGTTGAATGAAGATGGAATGGGACAGTGGGCAGAAAAAAAACAAATAAACAAATAAATAGTTTGGGGTTGCATGTAAAAGGGGTACAAGGGTATTGTAGTTCAGTTCAGTGACAGATTGCAAAGAAAATTGGAAGGGATTTACGAGAAGGCAGAGAGTATGACGAGACGATAGGAGAAAAAAGGTTTGGACTTTAGCGGGACTGTGATGCATTCTCATGCTCGGAAATGGGCCTCCGTGTATGGCGGCCCAAATAGTTGACCCAAATGGGCCTTTGTTATGCATTCATTTTCCTGCACCACAAGTCGTTGTTAGTATTCTCATTGTTCGTTTGTGACTAGAGGTGTTAATGGGCCGAGCCGAATCGAGCTTTAATCTTAAAAGGCTAAGTTTATGTTTAAATGTGTCAGTCTGACCAAGCCTGTTACCTGTTAGGAATATTATTATCGGCCTGTGGCCTAACTTATTTACATAAAGTAAAAGTCTGGTTTAGCCTGTTAGCCTGTTTAAAAAAAATAAAATAACAAAAATTTATCCAAACAAAACATACAATTAACAATACTAGTAATTCCATAACTATCATAAATTTAATATATATCCAAACAGCATAATATAGAACAAAATCATTCAAAAAATCTATTTAACCAATAAAATGAGGTGAAATAGATTAAGGAGAAAGAGACGCTATTACAAGTAGTATAAAAAAAAATAAAATAAAAATATAAAATAATATACTAGGCCAGCCTAAGAGGCTTTCGAGCCGAGCTTTTGATTTAGAGCCTGAAGCCTTTTTATTAAACGAGCTTTTATACAACTTCAAGCCTGGTGCCAACAACCAATTTTAGACATGTAAATTCAGGCCTTCACGAGCCGAACCAAATGCCCCTGACTCGTTTAACACCCCTATTTGTGACACATTTAACTACTATTGTTTGTAGGGATAGGATTCATTGACACCGGTGTCAAATTTTGAAATTTGACACCAAATCCTAACCATTGATTTCTGCCAATCAACGGTTATCATTTATTGGAAATTAATAATATAAGTGTAATTCTCAATAAATGATAACCGTTGATTGACGGAAATCAACAGTTAAAATTTGGTGTCAAATTTCAAAGTTTAACACCGGTGTCAAAGGATCCTACCCCTTGTTTGTATTACTGATTATGACAATACTTGGTTTACTCGAAGTTGCAGAAAAAATAAGAAAAATATGTATGCTTTTTGTTTCTTCAAACATAACATAACTTCTAACTGAAAATCATGATGCATACATCAACATATCTCAAAATATAATACATTGAAGTGGACATCTATTCACTACGAAACTATTTATCACAAAATAGTATCTCGAGTCACTTAATAATACATCAGTTATTAGAGCATGATTTTAGCCAACTATGTACATATATACAAACAAAATAAGGGTATGACTGGTATCAAGTCCTATCATGATGCTATGAAATCCTATCGGTATGTGCAGTGGCGGAGCCAGCAAGACATTTAAGTCAGTGCCAAAAAATTTAGTTGGTGCCACGGTTATATAGCTACGACCAAAACGTGGCTAGTTTTCAAAAAACTTGAAACATGATTTGCTACGTTTAAACGTAGCTAAAGAAACGTGGCTAAATTAGCCAGTGCCAAGGCACCTGCTGGCACCAACGTGGCTCCGCCACTGGGTATGTGTACATCCCAAAGTTTCTAGGCTAAAGTATATGCGCATCATTTATCTTAAACTTCAGAGTTAACTTGATTGATTGAGCAAATCATGAACTCTCATTGTAGCCCTCATCTTCATTAGGAGCATGGTAGCTAAAATCGCGTTTTAAAACATAAAATCGTAAAATCGACAAAAACGCATCGTTTAAACGTAAAAGCACAAAATCGATATGTTTTTTTACACCTTGACCGATTTTAAAACCTCAAATGATAAATCCCAAATTTCTTTCGTTACATGCTTTCTCCTTTGTTTCGTCTCTGAACCTCACCCTAAAACCCACTTTCTCCTTTGTTTTGTCTCTGAATCTCTCTTTGTTAACCCTGTTAAAAATCGACAATCACACAAATCGAAAACGAAAAGAGAAAGAGAGAGAGAATAGACACAGAAATTTATCCTGGTTTACTCAATTTAGGCTACGTCTGTAACGCCCGGCCACTTGCCAGCATCAACGACTATCCCCACACACTAACACGAGACTTTTCAGCGTGCTTTGTCCTCACTCGCACACTTCCCGAGAAAACTTTCCAAGAGGTCACTCATCCCTGAATTGCTCCTAGTCAAGCACGCTTAACTGTGGAGTTCTTCCGATCCGGGCTACCGAAAAGTAGATGCATCTTGTTTGTATAGGTAGTACCAATTAATTCTTTTAAGGTATCACAAACTTGCAGTCTCATATACCTGCACAATCTTTGGAATCCCTCTCTTTCGGGTGTTGATTCGATTCAATTTGGGTTATAGTGGACAGGCTTACGAAGCCTGCACATTTTCTTCCAGTGCGAGTGGATTTCTCTACGGAGAAATTAGCTAAGTTATATGTAAAGAAGATTGTAAGGCTCCACGAGATACCAGTTAGCATTGTTAGTGATCGGGACCCGAAATTTACTTCTCATTTTTGGGTAGCCTTGCAGCAGGCTTTTGGCACTCAGCTCAGGCTGAGCACTGCGTATCACCCGCAAACTGATGGTTAGACTGAGAAGACCATACAGACACTTGAGGATATGATGAGAGCTTGCACACTGGAGCAGGGTAATGCTTGGGACAGGTACTTATCATTGGTGGAATTTTTTTATAATAACAGTTTTCATTCCAGTTTGGGCATGGCACCATATGAGGCATTGTATGGACGGAAATGTCGTACTCCTACTTGTTAGATTGAGGTAGGTGATAAAGAGAGATTTGGGCCGAATTTTGTGCAAGAAACTACAGCACAAATTAAAATGATCATAGAAAAACTTAAACAGGCACAGAATCAGCAGAAAAGTTACTATGATAATAGACACAGATCGCTGGAATTTGAAGAAGGTTGATCATGTATTTGTGCGGTTATCTCCAGTTACGGGTGTTGGTCGTGCATTGGGCGTGAGGAAGCTGAGTCCTCGATTTATTGGGCCGTATCAGATAATGAAAAGAGCGGGATTAGTGGCCTATCAGCTTTCCTTGCCCCCACAGTTGTCGAATCTGCACGAGGTTTTCCGGATAAATCACATGTGGTGATACCAGATGATATTGAGATTCGGGAGAATTTGAAGACTCCTGTTGGTCCTATTGATGTCCTTGACCGCAGTGAGAAGAGGCTGAGAAGCAAAAATATTCCAATGCTAAAGATTCAATGGGAAGGATGCACATCTGAGGAGGCTACTTGAGAGATAAGGACGAGATTCTCCTGCTACATCCCGTGTTAGTGGACCGGTACGATTCTAATTTTGCTGACAAAATTTCTAAAAGGAGGGGTGAATATAACACCTCGCAATTCTAAAAATGTAATTGTATATTAAATGTGGATTAAATGGTAGGATTAGTGAAAATCTTGAAATTAAGGCCAAAATACAAATGAAGGGTAAAACGGTAATTAGCCAAACACGTAACCCTAGGAAGGTAAAATTGAGTAGGAGGTCTCAAATGATAAAAATAACCCTGGAAATGGATTCATAACGAAAAATTGAGTGGTTAGGCAAGTTTCGGAAAATTCGGTGAATAGTGTTTTTACCGGTTAAAAGTACCGTGATACAGTTGCACCGTAAAGCGTGCCGATTGAATTTTGAGCTCTAGGTTTAGGATACAAGTTATAAATGGTATATAAGACTAGGAAATATGATTTCTGATGAAAATTGACGGAAAGTAGTGAGTTTGGGGAAGCGTGCCTACAGCGCGCGTAACAGCTTAAAACTGTAATTTCTCCGAACGATCGGAAAACTCCGGATTCATCTGATCAAGGGTAATTAAAGGACAATGGTTAATGTTAAAAATTAGAGTTTCTAAATAAGTTATGAAATTATGGACGTTAAGTGCTATCAGAGCAGGGCCTCTCATCCAGTACGGTGTGGTTCGAGGACGAACCAAGCGGAAGCTGGTGGGCATGTAACAACCCGAGTGCTGACGATTGTATGGTTAGTGGAAGAGCTAGCATACTATCAGCGGGAGGGGTACATGAATGAATCGAATATCACCAGAAAGAGAGGGATTCCAGAGAATGTGCTGGTATAGGACAGCACAGCCGAGGATATGCCTATGACGAAAGTAAAATGGTAAAGATGCATCTACTTTTCGGTAGCCCAGAACGGAAGAAATTCATAGTTAAGCGTGCTTGACTTGGGACAATTCTGGGATGGGTGACCTCTTGGGAAGTTTTCTCGGGAAGTGTGTGAGTGAGGACAAAGCATGCTGAAAAGTTTCGTGTTAGTGTGTGGGGACAGTCGTTGATCCTTGCAAGTTGCCAGGCGTTACAACGTCCAGCTTGTCTGTGTTGTATTCACCTCACGCCACTCGTTACAAGTCACTCGATTTACAAGAAAAATATAAAGAGAAAGAGCGGGTCCCTAGTTTCCTTTTTGTTGACCCCGACAACTAGTGCCCTCATCAACATGCGAAGTATGAGCCATACCCAACATTCTTCCACTTGGTGAATACTTCGCATGTTTCTTCAATCCCAATACAGTTGTACACCATTCAAACTTCTCTGAAGTCACTGCCTTGGTCAGAAAATCAGCATTGTTGACCTTTGTGTCAACCTTCTCCAGCAATACAACCTTATCTTCAATCCTCTCTCTGATGAAGTGATACTGTATGCCGATATGCTTGGTCCTCGCATGGAAACCTGGGTTCTTAGCCAAGAAAATGGCGCTCTGACTGTCACACCCAACGATCATCTCTCCTTTTGCAAAGCCAAGCTCTTTACACAAACTCTGTAACCAAATAACTTCCTTAACAACATGTGTCAAGGCCATTTACTCAACCTTTGTAGTAGATAAAGCAACAGTGCTCTGCCTCTTACTTATCCAACTGATAGCTCCGCCGAATGATGAAACAACATATCCACTTGTAGACCTTCTACTATCAATGTCACCTCCCCAATCAGCATCCACAAAGCATCTCAGTTCTAATAATGTCTGTCCCCTTGGGCCCTTCACGCCTTCAT